AGTCCTTAACAATAGAAAGCAAGCAAAACGAGTACTGCACTGACCAATCACACGCACGCACACACACACACACTCACACACACTCACACACACTCACACACACACACACACACACACACACACTACTGCTCCTTTACTGTGTATTATGTGTATGTTCGAGAGTGTGTGTGTGTGTGTGTGTGTGTGTGTGTGTGTTAGAGTGTGTGTGTGTGTGTGTGTTAGAGTGTGTGTGTGTGTGTGTGTTAGTGTGTGTGTGTGTGTGTGTTAGAGTGTGTGTATGTGTGTGTTAGAGTGTGTGTGTGTGTGTGTTAGTGTGTGTGTGTGTGTGTGTGGGTGTGTATGTGTGTGTTAGAGTGTGTGTGTGTGTGTGTTAGAGTGTGTGTGTGTGTGTGTGTTAGTGTGTGTGTGTGTGTGTATGTGTGTGTTAGAGTGTGTGTGTGTGTGTGTTAGAGTGTGTGTGTGTGGTCTGAAGGCTCTGGAAGTGGCAGAGAGACACTCCTTCATAATTCATGTTGAGTGAAGAATCTTCCTTCTGCCACACAGACTATCTAACGCTCGCTCGCTCGCTCGCTCGCTCGCTCACTCGCTCACTCACTCACTCACTCACTCACTCGCTCACTCACTCACTCACTCTAGATGTATATCAGGGATGCACAACACACTGTTTGTTAATCATTACTGCGATGCTGGCGTTTGCACTGCTGATACCACAGAAGGCTACGACATGCAAATAACCCCCTAACCAATCACAGCGTTTCTTACTGAGTGCTGCGAGCATCCTAACTCATCATAGCTCCAGATGAGTGTTTCTGTGGGTGTCGAGATGAACCAAGGTATTCGTGTAATCTAGAGACAGTACCAAACCCATACCAGGCATCCGGCTGAGAGCAGCAGAAAATGCTGGATCAGATTTCACAGCAGGGAAAAAGAAATGTGCAACAAATCTATTCTGTAACAACACTCACTCATACTACGTGATGTGATTTTGCTGGCTGTGTCGTTCTTTCTGTGGGTAACAGAGTGTTTGAGTAGTTTCATCATGGTAGCCTACATTTAGGCTACATTCACACAGCAGGTAAAAGTGGCTCAAATCTGATTTTCTCACCAAATCCGATTTTTTTTGTTTGGCTGTTCACATTAATCTTTTAAATGTGATCTACACCAATCAGGCATAACATTATGACCACCTCCTTGTTTCTACGCTCATTGTCCATTTTATCAGCTACACTTACTACATAGGTGCACTTTGTAGTTCTACAGTTACAGACTGTATTAGTGTGTGTTGCGCTGGTACGAGTGGATCAGACACAGCAGTGCTGCTGGAGTTTTTAAACACTGTGTCCACTCACTGTCCACTCTATTAGACACACCTACCTTGTCAGTCCATCTTGTAAATGTAAAGTCAGAGACCATAGCTCATCTGCTGCTGCACAGTTTGTGTTGGTCATCCTCTAGTCCTTCATCAGTGGTCACAGGACGCTGCCCACAGGACGCTGTTGGCTGGATGTTTTTGGTTGGTGGACTATTCTCAGTCTGATCCACTCAGACCAGCGCAACACACACTAACCCACCACCACCACGTCAGTGTTACTGCAGCGCTGAGAATGATCCACCACCCAAATAGTACCTGCTCTGTGAGGGTCCATGGGGGTCCTGACCACTGAAGAACAGGGTAAAAGGGAGCTAACAAAGTATGCAGAGAAACAGATGGACTACAGTCTGTAACTGTAGAACTACAAAGTGCACCTATATAGTAAGTGGAGCTGATAAAATGGACAATGAGCGCAGAAACAAGGACATAATGTTCATAATGTTATGCCTGATCTGTGTATATGTGACATCAGTCTGAACAGATCAGCCCCTAAACTGACCCGCATGTGCAAAAGAACAATGCCTCCCGCGGCTCGTCCAGAGGTAAACAATCATTACTTCCAACGAACGGCAGTCGCTCCTGGGAGCTTTCGGTTTCATCTTCGCCATCATGAAACTTCACTGACTTACAGCTGGGCTCATCACACAGAATGTGTTCGAGATCGCTGTGCACATTATTTGGACACAGACTGGATAAATCTCTTCTAAGTTTGTGGTACAGAAACATCACCCCAAATGTTTATGAGTCTCAGCAGCACCTAATTATGATGAATGTCGAGTTGGACTGACGCAAAAGTTGCATGAATTCCCATCTGGCTGTTCAGACTGAGTCGCATTTCCACAGATCGGATCAGCATCGGATTTTAGTACCAAATATGAAAGCGTCTCAAATCGGAATTAAAAAAGTCAGATTCATTGCGTTTTTTGCTGTTCACACTGACACACAGAGAACACATCTGTGTCACATGAGAAGAAAAAAATCAGATTTGGGCCACTTTTACCTGCTGTGTGAACGTAGCCTTAGATGGAGCAAATGTGTTTGTTAAAAAGCTCAATTTAAAGATGTGTAGTTGTTAAAGAGAAAATACTGGATCACTATCTGACTGTACTCAAGGTTTCACTTTCAGTATCGGAAATGAAAAAATGGTATTGTGGTATTATTGATTCACCTGAACTTCTTAATACAATCCAAGGTGTGCTACAATCACAATATGTGGACATGAAGTAATCAAATACGTTACCATATCAGTACATTACTGAAAATAGAGGGAGGTATATTGTGGATAAAACAACTGCATGTTTCATTAAAAAAGAGAACATAATTAGTCCTGTTTATGGATTTTGTGCAGCGCATAACAGTTTCTGATGGCGGTTTTTAAATACGGCACTAATAATGCTTTGTGTCCGTGTCAAAATATCATGATGTGCATTATGTAAACATCATATCTTGTCCTTTGCTTTACCTTTTCATCGAGTAATTTTGAGACGATTCCCTGAACTGAAGCAAATGAACGAAAAACACAGAGTGTGAGCTGAAAGCTTAGTCTTTGGACATAAAAGCACAGTTCAGTAAAAGCTACGGCTGAATACGTTACGTTTAGTTTGACCAAGAAAGCGCAATTGATGCAGTATTGATGAACAGAATTGCGAAATGTCAAACACACTTTACCACCTGAAACCCACTGAGCCCTTTGTCATCTTCTCTGAGGCCATTTCACGGGAGGCCGCTTGAAACGCCCGTTTTGCCTGATGTACGAGACGTGTTTTTACTCGTGCATTCCTGAGACCTGAAGCTGCTTTGTCTGATGTCTGAAACCTGACGCTGTGGTCAGAGGATGTCCTAAAACGTGTCTGCCGCACTAAGTGTGTTTAACACAACAGCCCAGACCAGACCAGTTAGTTTTCAGGACAATTTCATCCATGTTAGGTTCAATAAATGTGATATTAACGAAGGATATCACAGCACCCAACATGTTCAAAAGTTCAGTCACATTAGCCACGTTTACATGCAGCCTGATAATCCGTTAATAATCCGACTAATAGCTCAATCGGAATAGAATACGTCCATGTAAACACCTCAATCGGAATAGTCTACTCCGATTGAGGCCATTCGGAATACAATTTCTATCCGATTAAACGAGGTGGGTAAACTTCTAAATAATCCGTTAAATAGAAGTATAATAGCCATGTAAACGCCTGAATCCGATTACATTCCAATCGGAACGTGTAAGTATGTTCTGCGCATGTGCGTCGCGTCATGGCGAAAGTTTATACCGCTCAACATGGCGGAGCAGAAATGATGTTCGCTGTCATGGTAACGTTTACTCTAAGAGCTACTCCACGCATGCGCGTCATTTTGCATCGGATTACTTGTAGTGAGCATGTAAACGAAGATTTTCCATCAGATTGTTGAATAGAGTGCATATAAACACCTCAGTCTAAATCTGTAATCGGATTGTATTCAATCGGATTGGCAAAAATCGTTGCATGTAAACATAGCCATTCACGGGTGGGAGCACTACTGTCTTGCTATGGTTTGCATGAAATAAATAAACAATGTTTTTTGAACTAGCAGTAAATGAGTAAAAGAGCTTTTAAACATTGTTGTGGACTGTTACGCCCTTAGTAACAATCTAATCACAGAATCTTCTGTAATAAATACATATGTGCAAAATATAATCAGTATTTTGTACATATCGTGCAGCTCTAATGCTCTAATGTACACGCACACAGCCTACTTAACTCTGATGACCTCTGCTCTGAGGGCTTTGGTCCTGAACTTCTGCAACAGAAGCTTACCTAGAAGTGTTTACACACTCTAACAGCAAGGCGGCAAACCAATTAGAAAACATGTAACCCCCTCTTACCCCTCCCCACCCCTCCCCGCTTCCACACACACACACACTAAAAATAAATGAGGCTGTCGCTCGTGTGTGACCTTTACCAGACAGGAGGCATTTATAGCCTCCGTCGCCACGCCAACGCCCTTCTGTCACTCAGCCTGGTCACTGCACATGCTCCGGTTACCCTCCACACCTGCATTACCTACTACATGGTCAGTTACACCACACTCACCCGCAGCCAGCTCCACTGCCCTCACCCACTCAACCCCACTGACCCAAGGTCAGTTCCGCTCCACTCACCCGCTCCACAACACTGACCCATGGTCAGTTCTACAATGCCCACCCTGCTCCACCACACTGACCCATGGTCAGTTCTGCTCCATTCACCTGCTCTACCACACTGAACCATGGTCAGTTCTACAATGCCCACCCGCTCCACCACAGTGACCCATGGTCAGTTCTGCTCCATTCACCTGCTCTACCACACTGATCCATGGTCAGTTCTACTATGCCCTCCCGCTCCACCACACTGACCCACGGTCAGTTCTACTATGCTCACCTGCTCTAACACACTGACCACGGTCAGTTCTACTACACTCACCTGCTCTATCACACTGACCCGCGGTCAGTTCCGCTCCATTCACTCGCTCCACCACACTGACCCACGGTCAGCTCCACTGCACTCACCTCACTCTACAACACTAACCCGACGGTCAGTTCTGCTACACTCTTCTGCTCTACACCATCTCATAAAAGGAGTGGAAGGACAGCAGTCCAAATACTTACAGTGCGAGCACATCTCCAAGGGATAACTTGCTTCATTTCCCTGAAAAGGGGACAAAAAAACAGATTAGAGAATGAAAAAGAGAACATTATAATTACTTGAAAAACAAAGGAGGTCAATAATCACTCTAATGAATGAGAGGATTAATAATCAAAAGCGGAACATATTCAATTTTTGAATGAGACGGCTTCACAGAGAGTGCCCTCAAGTGACCACTAGCTGTTAAACGGGACGCAGCCAGTGGAAAGGTCTCGAGACAGGAAACTCCTCTGCCACAGCCAACGTGGCTTAGCTAACAGGTTAATCAGATTTGGTAAGTTCCTTCTAAGCAGAGGTAAGAAGCACTGCAGAAGGCCAAGAGAAACAGGATGTGACATCACAGCTGACAAGACTTTTTACCAACATGGCTGCTCAAGTGTGACATACAATGTGCCAAAAAAGTATTGGTGACTGTTAGAGTCCCTGTGGACCAAACCAGGTTAAGTGTCTTGCTTAAAGTTACAACGGCTGAGTCTAAAGAGGCAAATTCTCTGACTGCAGTGTGTCAGCATGGAGCACAGATCTAATACCGGGTATCAGGCTGGTATCAGGACATTATCAGGATGCAGAAAACACTGAATTGAATACTGGAGAGAAAAAAAATAATAAATCTGATCCAATTCTGCAGTGTTTGAGCAGACGGATCATGATAGCTGACTTTTTGATGCTGATCTGGATTAAAAATAGCTAATTTTACAGATCAATATTTTAAAATAAGAAATATCAGCATCAGCATTGGTCAATACTCAAGATTTCAACGTTGGTGTCTAAAATACAGAAGTGAAATCGTGCACTCTCGAGCATGATAGAAAAGAGAAGCTGGTACATTTTTAACAAAATGCTTCATCCTAATCTGGGTAGGATTTTATACAGAAATCATTTCAAGGTCATCATAAAATACAGACACTTAAGGGTGTCAATACTGATTTTACCGACACCTGACCAGTCTATGGATTGTTTTGTTGATTAACTGAGTAATGAGACTTTCTTTTTTTTTTGAAAAAAGGTAAACCAACATTTGAAAAGTAACAAACGATGCTGAGAAAATTCCAGAAGACAATATATTTATAGGCACTGCTGCAATAAAACAACATATCTTTGCTGTCAGAAGAAAACCTCCTATCTCCAAAATGGTAACTTTACAGGAGAAGGAAAAAACATACTTTACTTTTAATGTAAGTCAATGGAACCAGACTTCTTTCCAAGCAGTTTTGGGCCATTTCTTTTAGTCCATTCTTCATGAAATTTACAAGCAATGTAAAGGACAACGGGTATTTACAAATTATGTCAAAAAACTAAAAAACGACAAAAATGGAGATACGAGGTTTTCTTACGACAGCAGCGATATAATACCATAATAATACAATTAATATTACTACGTAAAACAAAAAGCAAAAAAACATATAATTGGGTGTCCGTCAGGCACTGTTTCTTAATGTAGGGAGAATTTAAATCATGCCCTATGATCACACAAACTTCCACCTAATCACTGGCGATTCATCAAAACAGTCAACTATTATCAATTTTTTCATATGAAATAACTGAATAATCCTGATGGCGTTTGATTATATACACAGAACAAAGGAAGGTTCAACAACACAAACACCAAACCAAATAAAGAGCACCTGACATTTCAGCTACCATTCTGACAGAAGTTGCCGGATTGTAAGCACATCCCTAAATCCCAAGAGGCTTCAGCGAGCGCGTGTCCACAGACGCGCTTATTTCATTATGCATGAGAAAAGCACAACACTGCATTCCGCCAGAGAGAGGAAATTAGGCCAACCCACCACCGCCGTACTGCATCTCTTTGGGACAATGCAGGAAAATGAGGAAAGAAAGAAGGAAAGAAAGACAAAGAGAAAGAGAAGACAGGACAGGATTGAGACAGAAAGAGCGAGAGAGGGACAGAACGAAGGATGCAGAAGGCACAGGCTGAGATATTGCTGGGTGATTTCGATAAAATGTACTAGAACAATATTTTCTGAATGTCTCACTATTCTGGATATCATAGCTTTTACTCTGATTGGTCCATTTAGATCAGTTGTCTCTTAAAATTACACTAAAGGGAATATTATAGTGATGTACACTTTAATCAGACAGATTTGCTGTACGAAAAAGCACATTTTCTGTATAGAAATTGATATGTAATTGATTACTATTGGTATATAATTGATTGACATGTATACACACATATACACACAGACACCGATGTATATATACATACACACACACCGATCAGCTCCACTTACTATATAGGTGCACTTTGTAGTTCTACAATTACAGACTGTAGTCTGTCTGTTTCTCTGCACACTCTGTTAGCCCCCTTTTACCCTGTTCTTCAGTGGTCAGGACCCTCATGGACCCTCACAGAGCAGGTACTATCTGCGTGGTGGATCATTCTCAGCACTGCAGTAACACTGATGTGGTGGTGGTGGTGTGTTAGTGTGTGTTGCACTGGTCTGAGTGGATCAGACACAGCAGTGCTGCTGGAGTTTTTAAACACCTCAGTGTCACTGCTGGACTGAGAATAGTCCACCAACCAAAAATATCCAGCCAACAGTGTCCTGTGGGCAGCGTCCTGTGACCACTGATGAAGGACTAGAGGATGACCAACACAAACTGTGCTCTGACTTTACATCTACAAGGTGGACTGACAAGGTAGGAGTGTCTAGCAGAGTGGACAGTGAGTGGACACAGTGTTTAAAAACTCCAGCAGCACTGCTGTGTCTGATCCACTCAGACCAGCGCAACACACACTAACACACCACCACCACATCAGTGTTACTGCAGTGCTGAGAATGATCCACCACCCAAATAGTACCTGTAGTATAGATATCATTTAGCCCAGCATTTTGAAGCAGAATATTAGAGAGAGGGAGAGAGATATAGAGAGGTGCAATAACAGGATATTTCTCTAATTTTTGGAAAGGCTGGTGACCTTTTCCTGCTGCACTCCAGGTAACCCAGATAAACTGAAATAATCCTTCAATGAAAACATTATTGTTGATTGACAATTGTCATTGTTGAACCCTCCCATGTGGATCCCAATCTGTTCTCTTTAAAGGCCAGCACCACACACAATGTCCCTTCCAGTCTTCCTCTGTGACCAAAAGAAACAGCTGACATAGCACCATTCCCAAAAACCCATTTAACAGAATATGCTCGGCTGATATCACCTCCATACTTCTGCTGTTTTACAGCCTAGGAATATTCAGAACAAGTGTTTTGTCCTAGACGTTGATCCAAGTTATTACTATTGAGTATATCGAATTTCTGCTGATACACAGTCCAAGCCGGCATCAGTGCAGAATAACTATGAAATTACACTGACTCTGACCTTGCAGATTGGATCAGGATTTGAATTCACTGAAGACAATAACATGGAATTAACAGAGGGGTTTAAGTCAATCACATCTCTGAAGTCAGAATGTCATAGTTAATTGATAAAACCTGAGGAAAAATAAGGTGAGCTGACTTTTACCCTGTAAATGAACTGGCAGTAATTAGAGAGCACTTCTCATGATAAAGCACATTTTAAATTACTATTGTGTGCTATTACAGTAAGTCTGACGGACGTCCACTTGTGTGGCTTTTTTGTCTTTTTAAAAGCTTCCTAGATTCGTTTTTTTCAGTAAAGCATTTTGGGATATTTGAAAGACTACATATGGTTTGTTACTGTTCAGCAAAGTCCATTTTTTAAATCATGTAGCCTTTCCTAAAACATCACAGTAATTACTAAATCACTTGCTAATATAATTATAACTAATAGTGACAGTCCTACTCTGAAGTGTTCCTGCAGGATACACTATCGCCTTTTTGCATACTGAAGAGCTCAGCAGTATAGATCTGAATACCAACTGTTCAGAGATTGGCACTTCTATTCAAATACACCTGACATATACAGGCCTTGGGCTGTTTATCAGTCCCAGTGGATACTGCAGACAGACAAATGTCTCCATACATTGGAAAGGAGTCTTATCTTCTCTGCCTGTCCAACTAGATGCTCATCATACCCTGAGGGTATGTTCTCACTTAATATAACAAGTGTGCAGACGCAGGGACCAGCTTCCCTGTACCCACATAACTACTGAGTAAAATACGAAAATACTGATCCTGTATCAGTAAGCTTTACATAAAATACACAGTCTTTACATACTAAGCTTTTAATGATATACCTATGAACCCCAATGACATTCATAATTCCAATGACCATGTATGATCCCAAAGTAAATACGGGCTGCATTATACAGGCGAAAAAAACATAATGTGACTGCACAGCAACATACTGCGAGTGAATTCTGAAAGGGCTTGTTTGCATACTGTACTACTATATCACTACTGTGATATCATTGTAAAGGTCAATATAGCAATGATAACCAACAATGTACTGTGCAGCCCTAATATATATTTCACGTGTACATTGTGCACGTTCTTCTACTGCTGAACAGTGAAAGTGTTGGTGCAATTTCAATGTAATATTTATTCACACTGTACATTTTTTGGCACTACAAAGAAACACGAGGCTCAATAAAAATAATGAATAATATAATATAATAAAATCCCTGTGGTGAAATGAATTTAATGTGTGTCGGTGCTGTTCACATATTTTCAGTTCATTTTACCAGTACAGTGTTATAACTCTATGTCACTGATTTCATGATATGACATTTCCACTCTGTTGCATTCTTAGTTGAAGCTGCCCCTTTATGCCAAATCTACTACATGTACCCGTATCACGACCTTAGACAGACTAAATCACACAATGCTATCAAGCTGTGAGGGTGAAGCCCAGCACGAGCTTCCTCCGAGACACACGAAGCGCCGCCACATCTTTTCAAACACAACATCACTGGACAGTTCAACACACTTGGAGGAGAACACTAACTGCCAGCTCTGCTACAGTAGCTAACAGACCGCTAGCATCACACTGAGTGACGGGGGGAGAGGGAGAGGGAGGGCCATCCTACGCACCTAGAGAGAGCGTGGACAATTACGCTTTC